GTGTGGTGTGTGTGTGTGTGTGTGGTGTGTGTGTGTGGTGTGTGTGTGTGTGTGTGTGTGTGTGTGTGTGTGTGTGTGTGTGTTGTGTGTGTGTGTGTGTGTGTGTGTGTGTGTTGTGGCTTCTTGGAAACACATATGTGAGTGTAGTACAGTGTGTGTATCCCCCCTCTGTTCTCCTCTTGGCCAGGCTAATCAGGATCTACTCTAACAATCAGCTCTATTTACCTCTCCTTTTCATCCTTCACTTTGTGTGAGCCGTTGCAAACAATCCTCCAGCCTCTCTCCCTCTGTTTCTCTCTTTTGCTCTGTCCTGGCTGAGAGATCAGACAGTGGGTCTTTGAGTCCGGTCTTGCCACTAATATCCATTCATTGATATGCATCAGGACTAAGTGTTATTCTGATAATGACTCCATTAGAATCACTGACGCCCTCTCTGTCTCAACCTTAGCCGTGTTTGTTTACATTGTCCAATACTCCGCCGACTTTATTAATGAAAACTAATATTAACTGTGGTCGTTCTTGTGACTGTTCTTAGCTACTTTGTGTCTTTTTGTAGTCATTATTTAAAATCTTTGAAGGTACATTTATATCTCTTTGTAGTTGAGTTGTGTCCTTTTGTGACTTTTTGTAACATTTTGTGTCTGTGGTCATTTGTTTCGCCTAATGTCTCTTTGTCGCCGTTTTAGAGTTTTATTGTAATCATTTTGTCACCGTGGTCATTTTGTGTCTCTTTGTGGTCGTTGTTTATCTTCCTGTAATCATGTTGTGTCTAATTGTAGTCGCTTTTTGTGCTTATTTTAAATATCTTTTTAGTTGATTCATGTTTCTGTTCTCATGTTGTGCATCTGTGTAGTCATTTTATATATTTTTGTGGTTACTTTATGTCTCTTCCTGGTTGGTACGTGTCTCTTTGAGCCTTATTGAAGGTGAAGGCCACGACGGCCCCTAACCTCCCTAAAAGTCTTCATTTGGATTTGTGAGAAAGCACAATGCAAACGGAAGCAGTTTGCGTTCCTCCCACACTTCAACAAACAGTGGAGAAATGTCATCAGCCACAGTCATTAGCAGCACACCGAGCGCACTGTCCTGCAGCCTGCCGCTGCCAAGTCCCTGGTTGGACTCTGAAAAGTCAGTTTAACGCTACCTGTGTCCTGTCACAAAGGGATCTCACACACACCTACCTTAAACTCCAATACAATTGTGTCCTTTCAACCCTACAGTACGTTTCCTCTTTTATCTCAACTCTGCTTCTTTGATTGTGCCCAATATCTTCTTCATCATGTTCCACTAACATTTAGCTGCTCTCATCATTCACTGAATATCTCAAAAACAATCCCACCATCCGTTCACAGTGACAAACCCAGTATAGTACAAGTTGTCTATAATCAGTGACATTGAAATAAATTCAAAATCCCAAATGTTTGCGTTGCTGCTCCAAAACATTGGAACACAACGTTCCAAATGTTTTACGTGCGAAACATTCCAACTGCAAGGTTTTATTTTGAAAGTCTCACGGGAAGTCTCCTCATACCGTTCTGGCAGACTTGGATGTGTATCTTTTATTCCCCGCGAAGGAAGGAGGAGCTGCAGGTTAGTGTGTTCTCAATATTTGAGACTCAGTACATTCAATTGCAATTCATTTCCATGATGTGAGAGTGATCTGATTGTTTGTTTCTTTGTAAGGACAATGTGGAACATATTCCTGCAAACAACCCGACTCTGCAGACACAAGGTGAGAAAACAACTCTTTCTGTTTGGTTGACTTTTATTCATCATCAATTATTCATATATATGTGTTTTGGAGAGTGTTGGAACAAATGGAAACTCTTCATGAATATTCCATACAATAGTCAGTGAATCAATGGTTGTATGTGAATGGTGATGCTCAGTGTAGTAGTGTGGGTCAGTACAGTGTGTTCAGTGTGCTCGGTACAGTCCACAGTGGGCAGAGCGGTTCATCAGTTCACATGCAGTCTGGCACCGGGCCTTCTCTCTTCCTCCTCTCACTCTCATTCCTTCACATCCTCTTCTTCTTTCAAACTTCTCTTTTGTTTCATTGCCTGTCTCTGCAGCTTTTATCTCTTGCCACTGCAGCCTTCTCAATTCCCCTCACTGCTGTCAGATGTGTAGTTCAAAGAAACCAGCCCAACCTGGTACATAAATCCCCTTTATACTGACAAGTTATTATTGTGTAATCATTCTATCTTCTCCCCACAGGATGTCTTGGCCAATTCTCTACGCTCAGTTAGTCGGAGTTAACCGCCACTCCACCAGCCTGGGCAAAGTCTGGCTCTCGGTGCTCTTTATTTTCCGAGTCATGGTGCTGGTTGTTGCCGCTGAGAGCGTCTGGGGGGACGAGCAGTCTGACTTCACCTGCAACACACTACAGGTGAGAAAGCATACAACACGTATAAATGAACTTAACTGATCTGTGTTGTTGAAACAATCTGTGTCTGTCTGTGTTGCAGCCCGGCTGTGAAAACGTCTGCTATGATCAGTTCTTCCCTGTTTCCCACATCCGTCTGTGGTGTCTTCAGCTCCTCTTTGTCTCCACACCACCGCTCCTGGTCACAATGTATGTGGCCTATCGGAACCAACGCGATAGGAAGAGGCTCCTAGAGGTGTGTGTACTGTTGGATTTGTCTGCTGTTATTGCAGGAGACAAACATACTGTCAGCCCATGTCTCGTCTGTCCTGACATGGGTCATCTTGTCTTATCTTGTTCCTTTTGTGTCTAGTTTTCATGCTTAATTGTTCAAGTTTTGTCTTTTCGTGTCTCTTCTTATCTTGTCATGTGCTTTATCGTATAATCTTTTTACTTTTGTTTGCCATTTCCTGCTTTATTTTGTCATGTTATGCTTCCTCTACCCATGTTATACTTTGTTCTTGTCATGGCATGGTTTATATGGTCTTAGTTGTATCTTGTCATCACGTTATGTTACATCTTGTGTTACAGGGTTCAGGTAGATCTAGTTTCCTCAGCAACAAAAGCCAAGAGGAAGATTTGGACACTCTAAAGAGACGGAGACTCCCAATAGCTGGCGCCCTCTGGTGGACGTACGCCTTCAGCCTGTTGTTCAGGCTGCTGTTTGAAGGAGGCTTCATGTATGCTCTGCAATTTTCTGTGTGCCATTGTACTGGTTTTGGTATAATCGCACCAGTTTGCATCTTTGTCTCTCCAGGTACGCTCTATACGTAGTGTATGATGGTTTCCATATGCCTCGACTGGTGCAGTGTGACCAATGGCCGTGTCCTAACCTGGTGGACTGCTTCGTCTCACGCCCCACGGAGAAAACCATCTTCACCGTTTTCATGACCACCATTTCCTCTATCTGCATGGTCCTCAACATGGCTGAGCTGTCATATCTTGTTGCTAAGGCTGTCACTAGGTAGAGGCATTAATCAGTCAGGTGATTCATTGAAGTCTGAAGTGCTGCTCTTGCTCTTTTGCATATCATGTATTTATTTTTTGCCATGTTTACAAATGTCATGTTCTTATATGTTGTATGTCAGGGACTACGGATGGAAATTGGTCATCAAAGGGAGTCTTTCAATGCTTGAAAACGTCTTCTTTTTCAGGAGTCTCTGTGGTCAGAAGGAGAGAAAAAGAAGATCCAGCAGAGAGGATGCATAATAAGACAACTCGGAAACTAGTCTCAGTCTGAGGAAGCAGCAACAAGGTGGACAATACATGAAGAAGAAAGACTTTCAAGCTGAATGATTACAACTCATATGAATGATCAAGAACATTTAAAAATGCAACTCAAAAAGTGAAAATGTTCTATGATACTTAGTGTAACGTTCAAGGGGTGGAGAGAATGGAAACTGTATTTTTTTACATGATATATGTTAAAACTTTAATTCACTGAATGCACTTGTGGTTTCCTACTTTTGTAGCACAAATAAAGTTTCATCTTATCTTAACCATGTGTCAGTCTAACTGTTTGATTAAATCACTGCATGATAATAAGGATGCTCCTGTCTGGGAAACTGACTAACTATGGATTGACTTTGTTGCAAATTATTTAGTGGTACAGTTTCAAACAAATCACACAGAATATAGACAAATGCAGTCAAAACCAATAACATGCATTTAACCATGTGACTCATCAATTACAAAAAAACAATGTAACAGGACACAACCTGTACTGTATTCTCATTTATATCAGATGCATGGAGTGGTCTACTGTTTTGACCTGTGTTGACCTCTGCTGGCGGCCCACGGTGACTGCACCACCTGAGCGTCACTGACACACAACAGGAACTGATGTCACCTCCTGACAACTAACCATGGTGAGACTACAAAAACCTTACCGATTTATACAGGTGCACAATGGTGACTTTGTTACTTGCTATGCAATGCTATGCGTATATATATATATATATATATATATATATAATTTTTTCGAAAATATTTTACTCATTGTTGCATATTTCAATCTCAATCTTGGTCAGATAATAGTATGGGATAATTCAGATACTTACTACTGCAACTTCAGTGCAGTGAGGGAAAGTAACTAATCATATATGCTGCATTATAATAGTTTAAGATAAGTAGAGCACACATAATGATCACTTTTGCTTTTGGCACTTTAAGTATTTTGATGTTCTTTTTTATTCATCACTTTTACTCCTAATAGAGTATATTTACACTTTAGTACTTCCACCTAAAGTTTTCCTACACTGCATTCATATAATTAGTTTTAAACGATGTATTTGATATGAGGCATGTCAGTCTTGTGATGGAGTGCCTCTTCTTTCACATACACACGCGCACGCAAAAAAGCACGCACCTCCCCCCCATCACCCCCCTCGTGCGCCCCATGCACGGGGACACCAATGTGTGACAGTAGCGGATGGCCCTGGCCACGCGGGACGCAGCCGCTCCGCTTCGCCTTCGCTAGACTGGCCTCGCGTCTTTTTTTACTCCCTCTCTCACCCTCCCTCTCTCCCTCTGTAACTCTCTCTCTCTCTCTCTCTCTTTTCTCTCTCTCTTTCTCTCTCTCTCTCTCTCTCTCTCTAATCTCACCTACTCCTCGTTTAGCGCGCCGGTGGGAGTAAAAACAGAAGAAGAAGAAGAAGAAAAAGAAGAAGAGGGAAGGCGCTGCGGGAGGACCCGTGTTTCAGAGGAGAGCGGTAAGCAGGTGGAGGCTGCTGCAGTGATGGTGTTGGGGAGTGGGAGGGAAGAGGAGGGATTATCACCCTTCCACCTGCTGGATTAGGAGCACCTCTCATGCTGCGGTCACTTCCCTGTGGGAAAGACGGCAGACAGGAAACCACTAATATTTCCTAGAATCATTTTTTTACATAGAAGCTCGGACATCTTTTAAGTGTTGAGATGTTGTGTTTTCAATGATAATCCTAATTATTAGTAAAGCACACCAAACTGGGTCCTGGATATTACATTAGGATGTGTTAGACACTGTCAATTAGCCTTTGAGCTCGTATGAAGTGTTCATCTTTTTGGTCATTTTGGAATTTCTCATACAAGCTAGACCATCAAAGTTGTTAAAGCCAAGACTTGGTGTAGTACAAAATATGTAATCTTGATATTTTCTATGTAATACTCAAAACCAGTGTTCCTAAAGGGTGATTTATGATTCTTCTTGCAAATAATGTCCATCATAACGCATTGCTGCTCTTAACCACCCTGCGGTTTTCTCAGTTGATGTTACTTTCTCTGGGATAAAAACCTCACATTTGGACACCCTGATTGACTCTTGCTCCTCGTAGATCGTTATCTAAATTTAAAGAGCTGTTGATGTGCTTCTTTAAACTGTATTGTACTTTTACACACATTAAGCATCTCTATTTATTTGTGGTATTGCACACATTTTAAACACATTTACTCTCCTTTAAGCTTATGTATTTTCTTACGTCACCTCTACGCACCTTATGCAGCTTAATGAATTGTTATCAAATATTGTACTTTTTTATACACTAAATGCACTTTTACACGTGTTCTTTCTGTTAACTCCTCAGCACTTGTTGACCCTAAGTCATTATCAAGCACCATTTCCTTGTGTAAACCCGCTATGTGAGAACATAAGTTAAAAAACCTAATTTATAATGTTTATGGATGTGCATCTAACCAACATCAGGCTATATGGTTAAAACATAATAGTGTTTCATGTGAGCATTGCCTCTGTCCTCATATCTTCAAAAGGTTTTCGGGGGGAAGCGGCAAGCCAAGAGTTAACTGTTTGGGCTGTTTTAGCACAAAGACCTCTGATCCATCAAAAGCACACGGCAGCCAGGACAATGTCCATCTGGCAGCTTCTCTATTGTCTATCTTGACAGATGGTATTTCATCAGGTCAACACATCATGTACATGTTCACATGCCACTGTTAGATTGGCGTTTCAGTAGACAGTTACATCGGTCCACTCATAGACTGAGCATTGAGCAGCTTTAGGGTGTGGTAAAGTCAGACTTTTTCTGGACTTATAGAGATATATCAAATACTTTTATTGTATTAAAGGGGCAATATTACAGAACGCAATTTCATTTGACTATTTGATTTCCTTTTGTTGCTTTTTCCGACCTCTGATCTACTTATTGTGAGTGTAAATAAGAGAGAAGTCTTGGGATTACCTTAAATATGATATGTTATATAGGTTACAAATAGCTTCAGATTGGTGTGGTACTGTACATTTGAGTGTGTGTTTGCACGTGTGTATATATCCGTCAATCCCAGGCAAACATTTGCCCTCCTCAGCATTCCTGGGCTGTGATGAGTCCAGCATTCATCCGGGACAGCCTGTTATCCACTCATTCACTTCCCACAGATGGCCGGCCATTGTCCACTAGCCAGCCTGCTCTGCGACACACACATACACAAATAGATGTCTGTAAGCAATTTAACATTTGGATAAAGTAAGAAAGGCATGCACAAACCAAGTTCCCTTCCATGCATAAATACACACACATAGGATGACATACAGTTGTACCAAGGCTCCCTATATTATTTGCATTAGTGCCCGTACAAACTTTAGGCCCTGCTGCATTTTGATGTTTGTGGTGTAGCCAGAAGATATGTTGGTGGTTCTTTACTGTCTGATAAGCAACCAGAGAGTTTAGAGATGACTTCTATGTTCCACACGTTTCAAAGATAGTTTCAGCTAGCTCATTGTCAGGCCATAGCCGATGAGTCCTGAGATTGCATGTTAAGCCAATGTGTTACGCCTCTTCTGCTCTAAACACAGACTGTTGCAACCAATGCTGGCTCAAACCTGATGAACCAGAACCCTTCAGAAACCAACATCTTCTACTGTCGCCAACATTCATATGTAGGCATCTGTTTATAGAGATGATTCTTTAAGCAGTCAGACAGTCACTAAACATGAACAGTAAACATACAGTTTGGTTGTATCCTACAATAAGTGACTCCATACAGATGAAAATAATTGGTGATATTTATTCTATCTATGTGACATTTTATCCATGTTTGAAAATGACATATAATGTTGACCAGAGCATTTCTTTCTCCTTTCCAGATCAAGATAATTTTTCTTCTGATATCTGGTCGATGGATTTATCACTGACAATACACTTATATTTTAGTAAGTCTGCCTTCCCCTGAGGAATACCAATCTGGTGCCGTAATTGGGTTTCCAGAAACCAAATTGTGTATTCCACAGCTGAAAATAACAATGAACAAATGCAATATTTTTGTTTGTTTGAGAGATATTTGCTCAAAACTGCCCAGTTGTTTCAAATGACTGCCTTTTTTCTTAACACTAAAAGTTAAAACTCTTGTTTTCCATCCAGGCTAGAGATCGAGTGAAGCATGGGGGACTGGAGCTTTCTGGGGCGGCTGCTGGAGAATGCTCAAGAACACTCCACTGTGATTGGAAAGGTGTGTGATTGACTTTTGATTAACTAGATAAATATGAAACGATCACATTAACTGCAGTGTTTTTTAATCCCTCCATCCTTCCTCCCCAGGTTTGGCTTACCGTCCTCTTCATCTTCCGCATCTTGGTTCTGGGCGCAGCAGCCGAAGAGGTTTGGGGCGACGAGCAGTCGGACTTTACTTGTAACACGCAGCAGCCCGGTTGCGAGAACGTCTGCTACGACGAGGCCTTCCCCATCTCCCACATCCGCTTCTGGGTGCTGCAGATCATCTTTGTCTCCACGCCCACCCTCATATACCTGGGCCATGTGCTGCACATAGTCCGCATGGAGGAGAAGAGGAGGGAGAGAGAGGAGGAGCTCAGAAAGGCCGGGCGGCACCAGGAGGACAACGACCCGCTCTATCACAATGGAGTCGGTAACGGAGGAGGGGGTGGTGGGAAGAAGGAGAAGCCGCCTATTCGTGACGAGCACGGCAAGATCCGTATCCGCGGGGCGTTACTGAGGACCTACATCTTCAACATCATCTTCAAGACTCTGTTTGAGGTGGGCTTCATCCTGGGACAGTACTTCCTCTATGGCTTCCACCTGAGGCCGCTCTATAAATGTGGCCGCTGGCCCTGCCCCAATACGGTGGACTGCTTCATCTCCAGGTTAGACCGTAGTTTGTGTTTGAGTGTTCAATGCAATGCAACACCACATTTTGTACTCCACGGAAATCATATGACTTTGTACACTCACTTGAAATGACCATCCTCTGGCCTGTCCCCCTTTGTTACGTCAACAGCATAATCTAGGAGAAAATGTGTTTCCCTCAATATGTAAATGAAGATCCAGTTATGTTGTATAGCAACGTTATATTCAGGAGACCAGGCTGCTGCATGACAAACAGCCTATATTCCTGGTGGAATACCTTGTAACACAAATACGATTCTTTCGGAAATAAACATTAAAAACTAAATTACTTGGAGAGCACAGACCAGGCCAATTCCATGGGACCAACATATCCCATCAGTCTAAGTTCTTGCTTGGCCTCTCCTACACACTTCCACATAATCCATGAACATTGGGCTAGTCATTTTTCTTGTCATGTGTTAAAGGATTTAATTCATTCTATGTTATACTATTTTGTTCTTTTTATACATTTGTGAATGAAATCTGATCTGTTTTCGCAGGCCCACTGAAAAGACCATCTTCATCATCTTCATGCTGGTGGTTGCCTGCGTGTCTCTGCTCCTCAACCTGTTGGAGATATACCACCTGGGCTGGAAGAAGGTCAAGCAGGGGGTCAGCAGTGAGTCCATCCCGTACTCCTGCATGAACGTGATAGGGGGTGGAGCAGCGGAGGGCAGAGCCTACAGTCCAGCTGAAGCCTCCCCTGCAGTGATGTCTGTGCCCGCAGCACTAAAGATGGACGAGTTCCACCCAGACGACTTCCTGTTGGAGGCCCTGCCCACTTCCTTTTACGGCGAGAGGGGGAGTGTCGGGGGCCGCAGTCAGCTGATGGAGATGGATCAGAACTGGAGCAACATGGCGCTGGAGCACCACAATCGGGAAGGACAAAACTCCTCCTCCTGCCCTCCTCCTCTGCCCTCTCCTCCCACCACCACCTCCTCCTCCTCTCCTCATGGGGAGAGCACCCCGCCACTCCCAGATGGGGAGGAACACTCTGAGTTTCCTACACTTCCTCGTCACACCCCTCTCTCCCCCCTTGCACCGGAGGAGGTGGAGGATGAAGAAACTACATCGCCTCGAATGGGCCTACATGACGACTTCACCGTGGTAACCAGGGCAGAGATGCACCCGCCTCCTGCTTCTCCCGCGCCGAACATCCGGAAGCCGAGTCGGGCCTTCAGGAGCGGCAGCGTCCGAGCTCGTCCCGACGACTTGGCAGTGTAGCTAATACACACACACACACACACACACACACACACACACACACACACACACACACATTCACACACACACACACACACACATACACACACACACACACACACACACACATTTACACAACCATGCAGACATGATGTGTACATGTAGAAAACACATAGAAAGCATGCCCTCCAGCTACTGACCTGCCTGCATGAAGAAAACACTATTCATTTGGAGGGGGCTGCTCACTTTAATCTCAGAATTATAAGGTAGAAGTAGCGATAGAAATAGTTTGGCCTGACCAGGCAAACATCATAGTTGATACGTGCAATTAAAATAGATGTTCAATAAACAAGCCCAATCAATAACTGCAGGCAAGGAAGGCAATTCAAAAATAAAAAGAGAACTTACAAAAAAGTAGCCAAAATAAAAACGCTAGCTAGTAGTATCGATCTTCTTCGTGAATAAGCATATTTATTTGTATTAATCCTTGAAACATACCATCAGCATTTCCTTAGCAAACTCACTTTCACACACAGCAATATATATATAATATACTATATATATATATATATATATATATATAGTCAGCACAGACACAAGTAAGAAGAGGTTATAGTGATGATGATTCTGATTGGACTAACTTATAAATTGGGGGCGTAGAGGCAGCGTTACTATATTCCTTTATTTTCATTTATCTTTTATTTATTTTCTGTGAGACATCGGAGGAGAGGTTTCTTTATTTTCATTTCTTACCGTGACGTGATGATGGAGCCGAACAGTCCGTGCGTCGTGTCTGTACGAGTGTGCCGCGCTCACACAGCCTGGAGTTTCAATGAAGAGAGGGACTCACCGAGGTCCCACCCTGAGACAGAGTCCTTAGGCTTCACAGGCTGTGTGTGTGTGTGTGTGTGTGTGTGTGTGTGTGTGTGTGTGTGTGTGTACCTTTAATTATGTTTCAGTGTTTTAAAAGATTACATCTCTGCAGTTCCATCAGGGTAAACTATAAAGTATATACATATGTAAATATATTCAAAGTATTGATAGGAACCAAAGATGTTTTAGAGAAACTAGCTACATTTGAAAACAGGTAGTTTCTGCTCAAGCTGCAATTTATAGCGACTTTTACCTAGAAGATCAAAAGTGCTTTAGCGTTTTCTGACATTGGCCCCACAGGTCACTTTATGCAAAAATCCAATGTTGGAAGAGTTGAGGTCTTTTTTTTTATATTACACGATCGAGCGCCTTAACTATGTCTACAGCGATTTGAAGCTCTGCAGCTTGAACAAATCACTTCCCCTTCTTTGGGATGCTTGTGTTTGCAGTGTGTTACAGAACTGTCGAGTGCCCCTAGCTGATCTGTAGGTGGACTCTAGGTTGTTTTTCTAGACTTAGATTATACTGTAGCTTTTAGATTTTTTGGAAAAAAAGAAAGCGATATGATCTAAAAAACTTTTATTTCTCTGTCAGTTCTTAACAGATATCCCACATAGGAATGTTCACTTTTCCTGTTCTTCTTATTAATTCCTGCCTAAAGAAAAAAACATAAACCAAACCGAAAATGGCTGATTTAAATGTACTTCCCAACAGCTTTAATTGATCAAATCTTACTCTGAATGTTTTCATTCGGGAATGAAAAGGCTCCCTATTAGCAAGAGGACAAAGGATTTAGGTTTGGGGCGAACATCATTCTGGGTTTGTATATCTTTGTGTTTCTCTCCGAGCAGAATATAGGTTTCATATACTTGGAATAATACTAGAATAATACAACAGCTAGCTATAGCATTTCAACACATAACCAAAACAACCCAATATAAGTCTGATTTGAATACGTTGACATTTTGAATTAAACAAAATGTTGTTTTTGTAGTTTAAAAAAATAATCTTAACTCAAGGTCCCCTTACTCACTTTCTCTGAAGCTTCAACCACATCTCACGGTCTTCATTGTTGTTGTAGTTTTGTCCAGGTCTGTTTCCATGTTTTACTGTCTGCTAAATAACCCATGGCGTTGTCCTGAAAGAACACCGTGGTGTTCGATAAGTCAGATCTGAGAGTGACTCTCAAATGGCCACATATCGTATAAATAATAACACCCATGGCATCTTGGAACATCTATTAGCTCAACAGCTTGTGAACGCTTTTGGATTAAGCTCAGTTAGAATTAATGGTAACTTATACATTGCTTATGTTAATGTATGTATGTTCATCACAAATGATGAACTTTTGCACATTATCAAAGATTATGATTTTTTTTATAGAAATAGTTTGGTGGATTTTTTTCCAGTCTTGAAGCTTATCAAAGTCTCCTGAATGCAGCTTGATAGTGAATGGAATGAGAGTGGTGACTGACTTCCTATCTAACTCTAACTAAGCCAATACGCTCGTTGTATTGTATTTGGAAGCAGTTTTATTATCAGTCGCTGGCAAACTTTAGTTAATACTCCTTTTGCATTTGGTAAGCATTTACGAGGTCCAGGCTTCAACATGTTGAAGTGTTTTCCGAGGACATTGTGCTTATCAAACATTGTTAGTGCTCTCCAGACTAAATGTCTGCCCTGTAACTTCTGATCGCTTCAGGCAGGATTTCAGCATGAACCAAACATATATATATACATAATATATATATATTTGCTTTTTGCTGACTCTGTCGAATATTTACATGTCTTTCTACAAATCTTGGGTGCCAAAAAACTACTTTTTTTTTCAACAAAGTTGAAGCACGTTAGCTGTGATGTGTCAAATCTAACCAAAGATATTTGTGCCAAAGATTTCACAATACAGGATGGAACCTGTAAAGAGCTTTGCTTGGTAGCCTCAACCCGAACCCTAACACAGACATTTTAAAACCCCTTTTATTATTCTGGGAACAATTGTTGACCTTAGTCTCTAAAAGACGACAAAGGTCATTGGACTTATTACAATCACTGAAATGTGTTGTTGTTCCTCGCTGTTCTTAGTACTGACAATATGGTGATAAAGATTTGCTCAGTTAAATAGTAATAGATCACTGTAATGAGGATATGAAGATAGTTTAAATGGAAAAAAGAAAGGGTGTCCTTGGAAAAGGGATATCAACATATTTTTGTTTATTTATGGGAATAACAATATGAAATTAGACTAAAAATAACCTAAAGCGATTGTTCTTTTCTGTCCTCAATACTGATTGAGATACTTTTGGCCGTTCCAACTTTTCCCGGATGTGGATGAGCCTTGAATGAAAGGTCCCGTGAAGAAAAACAGAGGTTATGTGGAGGGATTTTCACGGCGCCCCTTCAAGCAGGGACACAGAATCGCACGAGTTAGAAATGAAGAACCACCCTGCTATTTCTCCCGTTGTCAAACAACTGTCTTTGAAGAGAAGTGCCTTGCGTCTGAACCTTTTGTTAAAGAACATGTTGATGTAAATGTTCATTTACCTCAGATGTTTACAGAACTGTTACTGAATAAACTTTTTGTACCATACCTATGTCTGTCATGGTTTGCACTTTCTTCCTGGATCTCTTTTCTTCTGTGTTCAATGAGTGTTCAATTACCCTCTGTTATTATTGTGCTGTGCAAAAATACAAGATTGTGCCTTACCCCGGTGATGTGTGTGAGTTTATTCAACGTGATCTCATTGAAATGCCTTTTAAGGTCGCTTTGCATTTAGTGTTTTTTTGGATATAACGCACGGACCTCATTCACAATATGTCACGAATGTACGAGCATTCGTAGATTTAAACGAGTAGTTGACGTTGTGAATACAAAGAAAACTCCTTGGTTCTTTTTTGGCAACATAAGTACTCGTTTAGGTGAATGAAAAGATCATGGTTTAGCGTACGTGTAAATGTCACATACGGGCACGCGGTCAAAGTTTTAAACACGTGGTTAAACTAAACTATGACATGTTTAGACAACAAAACTACTTGGTTGTGTTTAAGGAAAATGTCATGATTATAATAACTAGATTTGTTAGGTATGTTCAGTAATGCATGGAGGTTAAGTAGTCAACAAAATAAGTAAACTGAGTTTTTTGTTTTACACGGGACTCAAACACTGTCCTCCTCGATGTCCGTGTGCGCCATCTTTCTGGATTTTATACTCGGAATATTATTTCTAGAACAATTTCTCTGAACGCTTTATTGGTGCAGGGTGAAATTCAGTATGACCTATTGATTAGCACTGGGAATACCAGTGTGGTTTATTCAACATTAGTTCCACGTGGAATAAAGATACTTCTAGCTGGATGCTCATGGTCCCCAGAGAACCAATCATCATGGTGACCTGGTGGTCTTTCCTGTAATGCCACTGCCATCTCTGCGTGTCCAAGAGATGTTTCAAAATGTAAAACAAACATTGGAATTAAATGTATTGATCAGAAATACAAATTGAAATTGAACTAAAATAAATGTTTAATATCTAAGCTTCCGTTATTAGTATTACTGGATAGCTGGCAGCTGTGTGTGCAACTGCAGTCCGTACTGTGCATATGTGTATCCGCGGTGGTGTCTCCATGTGCACGTGAATTCACGTTTCGGTACAAGTATGTGTGTGCGTGTGCGTGTGTGTGTGTGTGTGTGTGTGTGTGTGTGTGTGTGTGTGTGTGTGTGTGTGTGCGCACGTGTGTGTGTGTGTGCGCGCGTGTGTGTGTGCTGTGTCCTCATGGCCTCGCCCATTAAGCCGTGCTGAGGCCAGCACTTCCTTTATGTGAGCTGAAAGTCCCAGGGATTTTGTCTGAACAAAACCCTCTCCAGGGAGTGAAAGGGCCTTGAATGGCTGCTAATGCCTCCCCAGCTCTGGACTCTTGGTGGCTGCTGCCTACGTGGCCGTACGACCTGATATGGGCATGGACAACACTGAAATACTGTATATTGTGATAACTAGACTAGAACTGTTTTTGGTCATAAACGTTTTGACTTTAGTGAAGTGGAAATTGAAAGCTCACTTTGTTGTTGCGGGGAATATATTGAAAAAACGGACAGGAACTTAACTTTTTAGACATAATATAAACACCCAACACAAATACAAGCAGATGATAGCCGTTAAAAGCTCTCGAAAATAAACCGATGTACCTCATAATACCATATTTAAAAAAAGAATACAAACATTTATAATATATTGACTATTCTATTGGTGAAAAACAAATCAAGAAATTAAACAAATATTGGGAGCAAATCTGTGTGTTTTACGCAGCACTGCTTCAAACCTTTAATATATGAAGTAAAAATGCCTCTGTCAGGCTTATTGTTATGATCCGGCCGTATTTTTGCAAACAATTAAACAAGCATTTCTCCTAATAGAGTCCCGGCCTGCAGATCTTTAGCACAGCTGCAACTTGTTGCTGGCAACACCAAGTGGAGCAGCAACTCCCTTTCATTTGTATGAAGCTGCCAAACATTGAAGCTGAATGTAGAGTTGTTTTTGCAGTATATTGTACGTATATTGGCTGCATTTTCACACTATTGCAGAGCATTTACATATTTTAAGGCAGTTCAGAGTATTTAGTTAAAAATCCCAATTGGAAAATGTGCAAAAGGACCTGCTCCTTAACCTGTTCATACGGTATCAGCTCAGTTTGGATCTGATCCGCTGTGACTTCTGCTGTAACTCATTCATTTGTACAGTAGGGCCTCTTGTGGCCAAACTCCATCATTACTTTAAACTTTGCCTTTGGATGTTATTCCTCATCATAGTTGTTATCGTTCTAATTTTCACATATGCAACTTGAAAACATCAAACCAATAATGCATGTTATTTTCTATGATAAAGACACCATAAATAGTGGCACACCAACCACTAAAAGGAGTAGTTTCAACATTTTATTCATC